TTTTTTTTTTTTTGAGGGAAAGAGTGCACTAGTGGGTAGGTGCAGAGACAGAGGGAGACAGAGGATACTAAGCAGGCTCCACATTGACAGCAGAGAGCCTGACGTGGGGCTTGAACTCACGAGCTGTGAGATGAGATCATGACCTGAGCCGAAGTCGGAGGCTTAACCGACTGCACCAGCCAGGTGCCCCAAAGTCCAGGGTTCTAATAGCACATGAGTGCTTTTCAAACTTTAATGTGTATACAAATTACCTGGGTTTCATCTCAAAATTCATTTTCTAAATTATCAGATTTGGGATGGGGCCTAATCCTAAATTTTGAAAATTTTAAAACCACTGCCAATGTCATGTAACGGATTTAGTAAATAAAGATACAGGCAGCCCAGATAAATCTGGATTTTATGTGAATAACAAATATTCATCTTGTATCCATGTGTTCCAAATATTGCGTGGCCATGCTTACACTGAACCAAATTTCATTTTTTATCTGAAGGTAAAATACAACCGATGTCCTATATTTTACTTGACATCCTGATGCCTGTGCTGCTCGTCAGCAGACCAACCTTTGATTAGGAAAGCCTGCAATCTAAAAATTCATGCCATTACATGGCAGTATGAAACGTCAGCATATTTTTTAACCACTCTAGAGGATTTAGAGCCATAGGACAATGGACACTTGCTTTCTGACTGTCTGACGCTATGGCTTCTGAGCCACAAAAAGCTTATCAGGATCCGACTTGGTAGCCAGCACAACACATACTCTAATCTGCAATAGAGAGTCTTCGTGTCTCTTCCTTTTCTTGATGGGCAGTCAAGTCATCCCGGTGGCATGAACTTGAATTCGGGGGAGGGCAAGGTTCCCAGGGAGGTGACAAGTGTAGGCCTCAATGATCAGCTCATCAAGGTCAAATCTTCCATTTCTGGAGTATTTTGCTTTCCGACTAAGAGCTACCAGACACACAAGAAGACACAACTTGATATTGTTTATCCCACATGTCAAATCCTTTGAAGGGCAGCTGGGGGCTCAGCTGGTCCAGCGTCCGACTTTCAGCTCAGGTCATGATCTCGAGGTTCATGAG